AATTCATAAGAAGAAAACTGGGCGAAGTGGAAATAAACCAGAGGACGCTGGCTCAAGTGGCAAGGGAGAGTGTATCAATATTAAATGTGACAAGGTTGGAAGTGGCCAAGAATAGAGCCAGAATTAATTGGTTAATAAATAACCTAGCAGGGTTAAGACAAGAGATAATTAATGATACAGAAACTGTAATGATGGAATTACAGGAAATAAGTGGATTTATGCAAAGATATTTCCAACTAATGACAATTACGAATAAGGTACAACAAACTAGTCAGTCGTTGACAACCTTGCTGGAACATGTGAGAGCGCAATTAGACATGTTGTCATTGGGATACCTGTCCCCAAGCATAGTAAACCCGGGTCACTTAAAGGAAGTGTTACTCGGAATACAGACCGAGTTACCCCATCATTTAAGACTGCCAGTGGATCCCACCAAAGAATTGTGGAAATATTATAATGCGCTGCGATGTGTGATCTTGTTGGAAAATAGAAAACTATTAGTTTTGATGTCTATTCCGTTGTTGGATAGAGAAAGTATATTCAAGATATACCAGGTTATAAATTTACCTATTCCCTACCCCAGAAGTGATCAAGGTTTGGGAATGGTGGCAAGGTACAAGGTGGAAACAGAATACATAGCTTTAAATTCGGGTAGAACAAAGTTCATGTTGCTAACAGCTGAAGAAGCTAGAAAATGTAGAAATGATGCTCTGGGGACTTGTACATCATTGAGCCCCATCTATGTAGCTGGTAACCACAAAATGTGCATACTAGAGTTGTTTGAAGGGAAGAAAGAGGGAATTAAGAGAACTTGTCAAGTAGAGGTATTAGCAAACACGGCATTACCACAAGCTATCAGTGTTTCAGATCTCCACAAATATTCTTAAATGCCTATAATTGATGAAAGAAGCCATTGGTTTATACCTGATTGGGCCTTCGGCTTGTTCAGGAGTTTGAGAGTCCATAAGCCTTTGCATATTCGCGGCATTTGAATCTCTCCTGGCTGCCGTTTGATCTAGGTTCTCATTTGCACGGGATTTTCTTTTCTTCGCTGCAGCCTTTTGATTGCAATCTGGTCCTCTGTTGGCGGAGATTTATTTTTGCGAGGCATACTGCTGCCGTATGCGATAAGCTACAGAAGAACTCAAAAGTGATCGCTATATTTACGTATTCCATTAATATTTAAACTTACCTTTTAAAAGTTCAATGATAATTCTTCTGCCGCCACTTAATTTAAAGATAATTTGATCTCTATTGGTCCTTACTTTTGCCTACAAATTATTTTTTTTTCATAGGTGACTTTCGCTCGATTTCGTAATTAATTTAATTAAGTTATTCCCAAATTTATTTCCAAGTTATAAAAATTGTTATCTTAAAAAAATTCGTCGAAAAATCACCTAAAAAATCGCCGACTTTGTGAAACTTAATTGTAATCGGAAAATTTTGATAATCCTCCATCTTTAACGCATTTAACAAAGTCTGATTCGCAGCTGCATGATACAAGGTCTCAATCTAGAACACATCCGAAATCGCTACCAAAAGAAATGCTAGTGTCAAGTTGCGATCACTTTGTATTAACAAGGAAAATCGAGAACGGATTTTTGCAATGATCTGATATGTTGGCCTAAGTGTTCTTTAATTTTAATTTGTGATAAATACAATTTTTTAAAAGGTAGAATTTATATTTTGTCTTAAATCGAATAAAAAAGGCCAATATTAAAATAGTTCAAAGTTTCAAATATTCAACATATTTTTGAAGTACATTTATAAAATGAAACGGTTGTGGTCAGCAGTGGTCTTACCCTGACTTCATTACGGATTTCGGCTATTGCAACATCAGATCCGTTCTGTCAGATACCCCGACCTGTTGACAGGCCACCTCTCCGCATAATTCGCTCCACCATATAATTTTAAAGACAATTATTATATCAGGAGGTAGATCTTACTTTTATCATGGCATCGAGATTAGCATTAGCCAATCAGATTTTGTTTTGTTTGCTGTCTGCAGGTATAAGATCAACAGCGTGATTTGCGCGCGCTTTCCAGGTTTGCCTTTTCTGCGCATGCGCTAACGTCATGGTAAGTCTTTTTTCATTTAAAGGAAAAAAAAATTCCACGCGGCATTAATTGCCGTATTATTTTATATTTTCCTTAAACTACATCCATACATTCACTTACTAACCTGTGAACCGTGATTTTTGAGATTTTGTATTTTACATTATTTACATCGTTCGGATTGCTGTCCTCATCTTTATTAATAAAGATATTATTAACGACGTTCCGAAATTTCGGACCGAACCCTTTTATTGTTCTAATTCTACGTGCCATGCCTATTTTTTTTTTTTTTAGGTATCAAAGTTTCAGTTAGTGTCCTTTAATGTCTCAACTCTCCAAATTTTTGTTCCATGTATTGAATTTGGGTCAAGTCACTTAATTACTTCAAGCAAAGCTTTCATCCTCCACTGGGTCATGTGTCCTTGGGAACATGTGTCCTTGGGAACATCAAGTGAATGACTTTTTAGGACACATAAACCTAACGTCTCAGTAATCATTTTTTTTACCAGAGCTCATATTACATTTTTTTTCTCTAACTCTCTGTATTACTGGTTCCTATATTTTATTCATGTCGATGTCTGGTCGGCTTAGGAGATTCTTGTGCCCGGCATATGTGCTGAGTCCTTAAGTTTTCGTATTTTCCAGTGATGTTTTTTTTATCTATTATTTCAATCCCATTCTATAGAGGGCGGTGATATCCCTCTTCCCTTCATATATGGACTACTTCCGTGAACTAAATAACGAGTTCGGTTTCGAAATTCCAACGTATATCACCTGAAGAAGACCGGAGCGTATAACGGCCGAAACGTCGTGAATACGGCAATAAAGATGAAGACAACAGTTCGAACGATGTAAATAGTCAAAAAATTTAAAATCTACAAAAATAGTTTTATTTTTATTTCCAGTAAACAAATAAAACTGTTTGTAATTCTCGCAAATATTACGACGAAAACCAGAAACTCTTTGTAGTTAGTTGACAGAGGGATTCACAAAGGTACTTGACTAATCATGAAAAATTTGACTTGACATTAACGAAATAATGAAGGCGTGCTCCAATATCGCACGGTACAGACGGAGCATCAAATAAGGAATAAGGGGGGGGGTAGACATCTTCAAAGTTTAACTTGTTTCGCTATTTAATCATCAGAAATTTTTTTTTAAAAATTGTCATATCAGAATAAAGTGTCTCTGCCGACACTGGGGTTTGAACATGGATTGCCAGAGAGCAAGCACAGTCAACCTCATCTTGAAATAATTAGATCACGTGACAAATAAAGGAAAATATATACAGGGTGTCCATAAAGTTCGTGCGCACTTTAAAAAAATTATAACTTTATTTATATTTGCGATAGAAATAATTTGTAAAAAAGATTAGAAAGAAGTAAATCTATATTTTTAAGGTTTTATTGAAATTTTATTTATGTTTCCACATGTCCTACATCATTAGCAATACAAAGGGTAATACGATTTTGCAGTTCACGAAAAACATTTGCCAACTGATTTACAGTAATGCCTGAAATCACATTAGTTATTTTAACTATACTTAAAACTAGGTACATTAAACTTTATAACATTTTTTTACAGATTATTTCTATCGCAAATACAAATAAAGTTATAAATTTTTTAAAGTGCACACGGACTTTATGGACACCTTGTATATATATATATATATATATATATATATATATATATATATATATATATATATAGGAATTAGCGTGGCGTCTGACCCAGTATTGTTCGAAGGCGTTACTATTGTATATCTGTATTAAATAGTCTTTCCTACAAATGTGTCGGCCCCGTATTCCGGGATGAAACGGATGGTGTATCTGACGCTGATGGCCACGGCTCGAATGGTGATTTGGACGACGCGAAAGGAGGAAGTCTTGCGAGGCAATCGTCTTTCTCATTCGGATCTAATTCGATTCTTTGAGCATCAGCTCAAGATGAAGATTAGATCGAATAGAAAACGATTGCATTCGACAGTCTTTAGCGAAAGGTGGGTAAAAGAAGCGAGCTTGCTTCGTGTGAACGGGGCTAGCCTTGATTTTCTCTTCTAGGTCAACCTATTGCACATCAGGGTGGCTTCCTGTGGAAACCTCCCCTTGGTTAGGTTAGACAAACTTCAGTGTACCTAGTTAATGTGAGTAAGTGTTGTTCCTGGCCTGCATCCCGGCCGTTCTTTGGTTATGATCCAAGTCGAGATTTCCAACCTCCCCAGTTTGTTTTGACCCCCCCCCCCTTTCATCTCGACTGGGTCAGTTTTATATTTTCCCAATCCAGCCTAATATTTTATACTTTTTCCCACTCCCTTAGCGAGAGCGTCTCTTGATTTTGTCCCCTGGGCAGAATACAGCGGTCTCTCTGTTTTATGGGTCCCTACTAACATCAATTATGTTTAGTTTGTTTTTGTGTTTATTTTAAGTTTATTATTGGGTTCATTTCCCTCTCCTCTCATTTTATCATTATTAGAATTGTATATATATATATCATCATTAAAATTTTTATGGCATGGGGCGCGATTTTGGTAGGTCTCCCTTGAGAGCACGTGGTATTATGGTGGTTGAAGGCTTGTTTGGTGATGGACGAGTTCTTTTGGTGAATGAGTAAAATGTAATGTACGAATGGGTCGCGAATCTGATTAGCTAGGTATAAGATAGTTAGTGTTGACCAGCCTCTACCCCTCCCCTTTATTGGCCTCGTGCCACAATTTGTACTTTTTGTACGAATAAATATCAGTCTTTCCTACAAATGGCATTACAAAAAAATTGAAATAATGCGAAGTTATTTTTAAATCTTATCTTGTTTTGTTTTCATTGGTCACTTAGACGTCACGTGTCTACGCTTCAATTTTGAAAGGTTAACGTTTGTAAATTTGGGTTTATTCTATGCAAGCTGGCGTGTTTTACAACACACTCCAATCAAAGATTCACTTTACTACTCACCTTCCTTCAGGTTTCGGGTATGATCTTTTATCACTTGATCAGGCATCTTTTTCGACCATCTTCTGGGTGAGTATTGCCTTGATAACTCCTGCAGAAAGAAAACGATGTTTATGAGGTTTTAATCAAGAATATGGCCATCGAATGCAAAAGTAAGGAATCTGTAGTATTTGTGAAGAAGAACTTTAAAAAAATCCGTATAAAATAAGATTTAGTGGAATAAACAAATTAATGAACAAATACTTTGTCTAGTAGACACATTCAAATTATAACGGACACTATTAGAATAAATACTATTAGAATAAATACTATTAGAATAAATACTATTAGAATAAATACTATTAATTAATCATTTTCAGACAAAATGAAAACCTCCTTTTATTGAAAATGTTTAACAAGACACGATATCCCTACCGAACGGATCATCGGTCACGATCACGACCCCTGTAACCCCTGAGGGTTGTAGGACCACCACATGTACTGCGTTCTGGGCAAGATAGCCTGACGGAGCCCGTTCTTCACCAGACTAGTTTCAATTTAGTTTTCATTTCTCTAGTCTAGCCACCAACCAAGGCTATAGGACTTAGTCTGTTCTGCTATTTACCCATAGCTGACAAGAGAAGAGATGGATTAATACCTTTCCCAAGGGCATTAGAACGTAGGAAATATATGAATCCATTTATTCTGAGTGGATACCAACTTAAAATTAAAGTAGCTTTTGAATCTATAGAGAAGGATAAATATTATACAGCATTTAAAACATATATAAAATTATTAATTCGGCTTCAGCTTTTAAGCATCTATAGTCATTAAGTTATTTTAAAATCATTTACCTTTCAAGTTTCACGCAGGCAAATGGAGCTGAGCGTTTTTACGAATGACGAAAAAAAGAGTTTTTTCACAAACACCTCCACAATTTCTGAAATATAATTATTTTTTGGCGGGAGGTGGGTACACTTTATCGGTTTTCTTTTATTTTCTTTTTGGATGAATTGAATATTTTTACAAGGCTACATTTTTACCCTTTCAACTTTCCACAATTCAAATAAAGTATTTGTTCGGAACAAAAATTTCGCAGGTTAAATTTTAAAGACAATATCATCTGATTCTTTCAAAACCGAATCCATTACGACCTCATGGAAAATCTAAGCGTGTTGATGACTTCTGTAGTTTTAAAAATATAGAATAGGCGCTGTATGTTCCTAGGTGGCCAAATTAAAATAATATATGAAATATTACTGGAATAATTGTGTTTTTTTTCTAGGCCATGGCCAAGATCTTTCGATAAAAATTGTGTGTATCAAATCTTTCAAGCGTTTTTTTTTTTTTTTTTTTTTTTTTTAATTGGAACTCTTTGGAAATGGCTAAATTATTTGTTTGAGACATTTCCTGGAAGTAGATCTGAAGACAGTCTTTCCTTCGCTGTAAGTAAAGATCTTGGCTAAAGAAATTATTTTTGTCTGAATTTCTGGGATTAAGAGTTATTATTTACAGTCGGACTAACATCCTCATATTTGTTGTTAGGTTAGGGATTATCTCACGCCAATAGCCTAGGAAATTAAGAGCGTTTGTTCGAGAACTCGGCTTCATAGTAATTGTGAGTTCAATCCCTGGCCCAACCCAGGCGAAACTGGACTAGCAATATCTGAACAGTACTAAAATAGAATAAGACAAGATATCTCTAGATATGGACAGCAGAACGAGAACAATCCACTCTCCTAGATTAAATCAAGGGTTTAGATCAAAAGGTTACCCGGATCGACAGATAACTGAAGAAGGCTGCAGGGTACAACAACCGAAAAGTTGTGATAATAACAACAAAGATAAGGATTTTAGGTCGAATCTATATAATAAAGAAATAATTCTTTCTTTCAATAGAATATATTTTTGCCAGTTTTCTAGTGGCTCTTGATTTAAAGACAATTCCTTCTCTCTATGTCCAGCATTTTCTGATTGCTGATCCCTGTCCTGAATACTTATGGACAATTCTATGAAGAATGGTCAATGGAATAGAACAATTTCTTTCTTGTAGTCTCTTATTGATGTTTCAGAAGCAATGATCTTCATCAAGTTAGGCTCTTTCTCTCTTTGCACTTATTATTTTCTTTGGGGGTGTGGATCAGGGCCGGCTCAAGGTACTGGCAACTCGTGCAGTCGCCCGGGGTACCATCAAGACAGAGGGCGTCATCATGCTACTATGTCATGTGTTTGGGATCTTCCAAAGATAAAGCTTATAAAAACATACTTGCGATCGCCTATGACTCAAGACAGATTAAATTCTTTGGCTACTTTTCAATAAGAAACGTGCAGAAAGTGTCATGAAAAGATTTTCAGATCTAAAGTTTAGAAAAGATGTTTTAGGAGGGGGATAATGAAAGTTTTCTTTAGCTTGTTATTAAGTGCCGAATATTGTTATAAAATCATTGTTCTACATTTACTGTTTTTCTCGTTGTGAAAATTAAAATAAACTATAATTGAAACGGGAACGAATTCAGCTTGGCCCGGGTATCAGCAGCCCTAGTACCGTAACTGGTGTGGATATCATCATCATCATAAACTATACTTGAAACGGGACCGAAGTTCAGCTTGCCCCGGGTATCAGCAGCCCTAGTACCGTAACTGGTGTGGATATCACCATCATCATCATCATCATAAACTATACTTGAAACGGGACCGAAGTTCAGCTTGCCCCGGGTATCAGCAGCCCTAGTACCGTAATTGGTGTAGATAGGAAGATCATCATCATCATCATCATAAACTATACTTGAAACGGGACCGAAGTTCAGCTTGCCCCGGGTATCAGCTGCCCTAGTACCGTAACTGGTGTGGATATCATCATCATCTTCATCATCATCATCATAAACTATACTTGAAACGGGACCGAAGTTCAGCTTGCCCCGGGTATCAGCAGCCCTAGTACCGTAACTGGTGTGGATATCACCATCATCATCATCATCATAAACTATACTTGAAACGGGACCGAAGTTCAGCTTGCCCCGGGTATCAGCAGCCCTAGTACCGTAATTGGTGTGGATAGGAAGATCATCATCATCATCATAAACTATACTTGAAACGGGACCGAAGTTCAGCTTGCCCCGGGTATCAGCAGCCCTAGTACCGTAACTGGTGTGGATATCACCATCATCATCATCATCATAAACTATACTTGAAACGGGACCGAAGTTCAGCTTGCCCCGGGTATCAGCAGCCCTAGTACCGTAATTGGTGTGATAGGAAGATCATCATCATCATCATCATAAACTATACTTGAAACGGGACCGAAGTTCAGCTTGCCCCGGGTATCAGCTGCCCTAGTACCGTAACTGGTGTGGATATCACCATCATCTTCATCATCATCATCATAAACTATACTTGAAACGGGACCGAAGTTCAGCTTGCCCCGGGTATCAGCAGCCCTAGTACCGTAACTGGTGTGGATATCACCATCATCATCATCATCATAAACTATACTTGAAACGGGACCGAAGTTCAGCTTGCCCCGGGTATCAGCAGCCCTAGTACCGTAATTGGTGTGGATAGGAAGATCATCATCATCATCATCATAAACTATACTTGAAACGGGACCGAAGGTCAGCTTGCCATCATCATATCAGCAGCCCTAGTACCGTAACTGGTGTGGATATCAAGATCATCATCATCATCATCATCAACTATACTTGAAACGGGACCGAAGTTCAGCTTGCCCCGGGTATCAGCAGCCCTAGTACCGTAACTGGTGTGGATATCACCATCATCATCATCATCATAAACTATACTTGAAACGGGACCGAAGTTCAGCTTGCCCCGGCATCAGCAGCCCTAGTACCGTAACTGGTGTGGATAGGAAGATCATCATCATCATCATCATGAACTATACTTGAAACGGGACCGAAGTTCAGCTTGCCCCGGGTATCAGCAGCCCTAGTACCGTAACTAGTGTGGATATCATCATCATCTTCATCATCATCATCATAAACTATACTTGAAACGGGACAGAAGTTCAGCTTGCCCCGGGTATCAGCTGCCCTAGTACCGTAACTGGTGTGGATATCATCATCATCTTCATCATCATCATCATAAACTATACTTGAAACGGGACCGAAGTTCAGCTTGCCCCGGGTATCAGCAGCCCTAGTACCGTAACTGGTGTGGATATCACCATCATCATCATCATCATAAACTATACTTGAAACGGGACCGAAGTTCAGCTTGCCCCGGGTATCAGCAGCCCTAGTACCGTAATTGGTGTGGATAGGAAGATCATCATCATCATCATAAACTATACTTGAAACGGGACCGAAGTTCAGCTTGCCCCGGGTATCAGCAGCCCTAGTACCGTAACTGGTGTGGATATCACCATCATCATCATCATCATAAACTATACTTGAAACGGGACCGAAGTTCAGCTTGCCCCGGGTATCAGCAGCCCTAATACCGTAATTGGTGTGGATAGGAAGATCATCATCATCATCATCATAAACTATACTTGAAACGGGACCGAAGTTCAGCTTGCCCCGGGTATCAGCTGCCCTAGTACCGTAACTGGTGTGGATATCATCATCATCTTCATCATCATCATCATAAACTATACTTGAAACGGGACCGAAGTTCAGCTTGCCCCATCATCAACTTCGGGTATCAGCAGCCCTAGTACCGTAACTGGTGTGGATATCACCATCATCATCATCATCATAAACTATACTTGAAACGGGACCGAAGTTCAGCTTGCCCCCGGGTATCAGCAGCCCTAGTACCGTAATTGGTGTGGATAGGAAGATCATCATCATCATCATCATAAACTATACTTGAAACGGGACCGAAGGTCAGCTTGCCGCGGGTATCAGCAGCCCTAGTACCGTAACTGGTGTGGATATCAAGATCATCATCATCATCATCATCAACTATACTTGAAACGGGACCGAAGTTCAGCTTGCCCCGGGTATCAGCAGCCCTAGTACCGTAACTGGTGTGGATAGGAAGATCATCATCATCATCATCATGAACTATACTTGAAACGGGACCGAAGTTCAGCTTGCCCCGATCAGCAGCCCTAGTACCGTAACTCATATCATCATCATCTTCATCATCATCATCATAAACTATACTTGAAACGGGACAGAAGTTCAGCTTGCCCCGGCATCATCAGCCCTAGTACCGTAACTAGTGGGATATCATCATCATCATCATCATCATCATCATCATCATCATCACTATACTTGAAACGGGACAGAAGTTCAGCTTGCTCCGGGTATCAGCAGCGTAGTACCGTAACTGGTGTGGATATCAAGATCATCATCATCATCATCATCATCATCAACTATACTTGAAACGGGACCGAAGTTCAGCTTGCCCCGGGTATCAGTATCCGTATCATCCCATAAATCCCTAGTATCGTAACTGGTGTGGATATCATCATCATCATCATCATCATAAACTATACTTGAAACGGGACCGAGTTCAGCTTGCCCCGGGTATCAGCAGCCCTAGTACCGTAATTGGTGTGGATAGGAAGATCATCATCATCATCATCATAAACTATACTTGAAACGGGACCGAAGTTCAGCTTGCCCCGGGTATCAGCTGCCCTAGTACCGTAACTGGTGTGGATATCATCATCATCTTCATCATCATCATCATAAACTATACTTGAAACGGGACCGAAGTATCAGCAGCCCTAGTACCCTGGTGTGGATATCACCATCATCATCATCATCATAAACTATACTTGAAACGGGACCGAAGTTCAGCTTGCCCCGGGTATCAGCAGCCCTAGTACCGTAACTGGTGTGGATATCATCATCATCATCATCATCATAAACTATACTTGAAACGGGACCGAAGTTCAGCATGCCCCGGGGTATCATACCATCATGGATCATCAGCCCTAGTACCGTAACTGGCGTAGTGTGGATAGGAAGATCATCATCATCATCATCATGAACTATACTTGAAACGGGACCGAAGTTCAGCTTGCCCCGGGTATCAGCCCCTAGTACCGTAACTGGTGTGGATATCATCATCATCATCATCATCATCATAAACTATACTTGAAACGGGACAGAAGTTCAGCTTGCCCCGGGTATCAGCTGCCCTAGTACCGTAACTGGTGTGGATATCATCATCATCATCATCATCATCATCATCAAAACTATACTTGAAACGGGACCGAAGTTCAGCTTGCCCCGGGTATCAGCAGCCCCATCAGTATCGTAACTGGTGTGGATATCATCATCATCATCATCATACTTGAAACGGGACCGGTTCAAACTATAACTGGTGTGGATATCAAGATCATCATCATCATCATCATAAACTATACCGAAACGGGACCGAAGTTCAGCTTGCCCCGGTATCAACTGCAGCCCATCATATCATAAACTATACTTGTACCCCTGGTAATTGGTGTGGATAGGAAGATCATCATCATCATCATCATAAACTATACTTGAAACGGGACCGAAAGTTCAGCTTGCCCCGGGTATCAGCTGCCCTAGTACCGTAACTGGTGTGATATCATCATCATCTTCATCATCATCATCATAAACTATACTTGAAACGGGACCGAAGTTCAGCTTGCCCCGGTATCAGCAGCCCTAGTACCGTAACTGGTGTGGATATCACCATCATCATCATCATCATAAACTATACTTGAAACGGGACCGAAGTTCAGCTTGCCCCGGGTATCAGCAGCCCCGTAGTACCGTAACATCATAAACTATACTTGGGACCGAAGTGTGGATCATCACCAACTCATCATCATCATCATCAAACTATACTTGAAACGGGACCGAAGTTCAGCTTGCCCGGTATCAGCAGCCCTAGTACCGTAACTGGTGTGGATAGGAAGATCATCATCATCATCATCATGAACTATACTTGAAACGGGACCGAAGTTCAGCTTGCCCCGGGTATCAGCAGCCCTAGTACCGTAACTAGTGTCGATATCATCATCATCTTCATCATCATCATCATAAACTATACTTGAAACGGGACAGAAGTTCAGCTTGCCCCGGGTATCAGCTGCCCTAGTACCGTAACTAGTGTGGATATCATCATCATCATCATCATCATCATCATAAACTATACTTGAAACGGGACCGAAGTTCAGCTTGCCCCGGGTATCAGCTGCCCTAGTACCGTAACTGGTGTGGATATCATCATCATCTTCATCATCATCATCATAAACTATACTTGAAACGGGACAGAAGTTCAGCTTGCTCCGGGTATCAGCAGCGTAGTACCGTAACTGGTGTGGATATCAAGATCATCATCATCATCATCATCAACTATACTTGAAACGGGACCGAAGTTCAGCTTGCCCCGGGTATCAGCAGCCCTAGTACCGTAACTGGTGTGGATATCACCATCATCATCATCATCATAAACTATACTTGAAACGGGACCGAAGTTCAGCTTGCCCCGGGTATCAGCAGCCCTAGTACCGTAACTGGTGTGGATAGGAAGATCATCATCATCATCATCATAAACTATACTTGAAACGGGACCGAAGTTCAGCTTGCCCCGGGTATCAGCAGCCCTAGTACCGTAACTGGTGTGGATAGGAAGATCATCATCATCATCATCATAAACTATACTTGAAACGGGACCGAAGTTCAGCTTGCCCCGGGTATCAGCAGCCCTAGTACCGTAACTGGTGTGGATATCATCATCATCATCATCATCATCATAAACTATACTTGAAACGGGACCGAAGTTCAGCTTGCCCCGGGTATCAGCAGCCCTAGTACCGTAACTGGTGTGGATAGGAAGATCATCATCATCATCATCATAAACTATACTTGAAACAGGACCGAAGTTCAGCTTGCCCCGGGTATCAGCAGCCCTAGTACCGTAACTGGTGTGGATAGGAAGATCATCATCATCATCATCATAAACTATAGTTGAAACGGGACCGAAGTTCAGCTTGCCCCGGGTATCAGCAGCCCTAGTACCGTAACTGGTGTGGATATCATCATCATCATCATCATCATCATCATAAACTATACTTGAAACGGGACCGAAGTTCAGCTTGCCCCGGGTATCAGCAGCCCTAGTACCGTAACTGGTGTGGATATCATCATCATCATCATCATCATCATAAACTATACTTGAAACGGGACCGAAGTTCAGCTTGCCCCGGGTATCAGCAGCCCTAGTACCGTAACTGGTGTGGATATCATCATCATCATCATCATCATCAAAACTATACTTGAAACGGGACCGAAGTTCAGCTTGCCCTGGGTATCAGCAGCCCTAGTACCGTAACTGGTGTGGATATCATCATTATCATCATCATAATCATAAACTATACTTGAAACCGGACCGAAGTTCAGCTTGCCCCGGGTATCAGCAGCCCTAGTACCGTAACTGGCGTGGATATCAAGATCATCATCATCATCATCATCATCATAAACTATACTTGAAACGGGACCGAAGTTCAGCTTGCCCCGGGTATCAGCAGCCCTAGTACCGTAACTGGTGTGGATATCATCATGATCATGATCATCATAAACTATACTTGAAACGGGACCGAAGTTCAGCTTGCCCCGGGTATCAGCAGCCCTAGTACTGTAACTTTTGTGGATATCAAGATCATCATCATCATCATCATAAACTATACTTGAAACGGGTCCGAATTTCAGCTTGCCCCGGGTATCAGCAGCCCTAGTACCGTAACTGGTGTGGATATCATCATCATCATCATCATCATCATCATAAACTATACTTGAAACGGGGCCGAAGTTCAGCTTGCCCCGGGTATCAGCAGCCCTAGTACCGTAACTGGTGTGGATATCAAGATCATCATCATTATTATCATCATCGTCACTATCATCACTACTTGGGTGTGCTCACAGGGTCGCTGCTCGGTTGATTAGTTAACCAGTTCACTCCACATGTTTGTGTTGAAAGTCAGAATGAATTCATTCATACTTTGTGTGTGTTGGGTAAGTAGACTTCGCGGAGTTCCTTCTTCTCTAGGTCAAACCACGTCCAATGTTGGAACCTAGCCTTCATGATGGGCACTTGGCTGTTGATTCTCCTTAACCCCACCGGAGAAGACTTCAGTCTAGGAAACACTCTGTCCAGTGATGCCGTCTCATCAACGCATTGGCTGCATGGAACCCAATTTCTTCCACTGTGCTTGATGGCCGTTTTGACGACAAGAAAGTTCATTTGCTCTTTGATAGGCCTTGTTTTTTAATCCCGCTGTGTATCTAGACATCCCAAATCGCCAGCACGTCCTGGGTAAGACGTTAAACTGCATCCGCGTCCTGGGTAAGACGTTAAACTGCATCCGCGTCCTGGGTAAGACGTTTGTTGAAACTACGTTGTCTTTTCTACTGAATTTTATTCCTTCAATGAAAATCGTGTGATTATTATAGACGGTTAAATTACGTATCCTGTAACGCTATTTTATTAATGTATGGAATCCCGACACTCCAAATTTTAACATTCAACGAAAAACCGAGTAGAAGGATTCCTACAAAATAACCCAGTGAAGTTCATATGCAAAATAAACCAAAACAAACCAACTCGCTAGCAAGGCCAGTTGGGGAAACCGGTTTAGTTACCGATGGCACGATTAAATGGAAGGTCTTGCTAGGTTATATGATACGTTGTACTCAAAGAGTGACCTGACATAAATCAAGCATAAAGTTAATCTAATTACATCTAAAGTAAACAAAAATAATCATGTTCATATACGTAAGAACCAGAAGGAAGCGCCTTCTTTCCCGCTTAAAAAGGTAAACAAAATTATTTTTTTACCTTTAAAATTTGTAAAAAGACATAAGAGATTGCTTATGCATATAATTATTTCTTCTCGTTGGTTGATTCATTTTCTATGGTTTATTAACCCTTTTCAGGTTATTTAAAGCCAGAAAAATATTTTTAGATTTTAAGAATATTTTTTGAGATAATAACGATTTAATGATATAAGTTTTTTTTTCTAATTGACCCATAGCTGGGGGAGTGATGGATTCATACCTTTCCAAAATGTAATTGCTTGTAAGTCAATACAGTGTAACCCGGATATGAGATCCGGATATAAGAGAGATTTTCTTTGGTCCCAAATTAGAGACTTTACTTACCTAAACAAAATAGACCAAACCCGGATATAAGAGAAACCCGGATATAAGAGACTTCTCCGGTCCCGACAACTCTCTTATATCCGGTTTAGACTGTATAACGAACCCAACTGGAATTGGAACTCGGCTCTATGATTACCATTATCCATTACACCACCCACACATCTAAGCTTACAGCACCTGGTATTCCCAAGCAGTTACCCATCTAGGTAATGACCAAGCTCAATGTTGCTTAAATTCAGTAATCGCGAGAAAAATATAACTAAAATTTAGAATGGAAAGTTCTTTCTAAAAATGTCATCTTTTATTATATAGGGTGACCCCCAAAAAACGGGAATTTTTTAAGTGCGTATTGCCAGACATGAGCAAGTGGCAACACTGCGTGACAGTGACCTTGAGCAAGTAAACATTTCGCCATTTAGAATTCAAGATGAAATTCACAGTATCCCAGCTGAGATGTTGCAGCAGTCAATGAGGAATCTCAACAGCAGATTTCAAGTATGCATTCGTACAGGAAATGAAAATTCCATCATTGTTTCTTAAATGGCATGTTTTAAGGTTTCAATTACAATGAATAAAATATTTTTTCTTCCATCACTCTTGGTTTTATTGGATTGTTAAAAAGTTCCCGTTTTTTGGGTCACCCTGTATAAGCACTGAAAATTTTATTGGAATATAATAATCAATTATAAGCTCCACAGACTACGTAATTTTCTTCATTTTTTTTTTTTTTTTTGCTGATGGAAAAAATATTTTGACGATAAATTTTCATTCTTTTTATACAAGTTGATTTTTTTACTTCATGTCTCGTTTCCTGTCGAAATGTTTGGTTCATATCAACTTAAAGAAAAAAACAAAAAAAGAAACAAAAAAAAAAAAAACAAGATACTTACATGATTCCATAGAGGAGATTATGAAAACAACACCGAGATTTTAGAGGAAAAACACAAGCTGACATTCCAAAAGGATACGTACACACACATATACAAGATTAAAACGGCAAGACTCCAATTAAGCGATTTTTAAACAACAAAACAAAACATACCTCACGATCAAACTGTCTCCATTTTTCTGTCGGAATAGCCATGTCACTTTAAAACAGATAGCAAGCAAACTTTGTTGCCCGTGTAGAATTTAAGTCCGTGTAGAATTTAAAACCTCTTTTCTCACCAACAATGTTGGACGGGAAGTCTGTGCTTTTTAAGTGTTGCACAAGAAATACAGATGCGTTATTAGACGCGGACACATTTTTAGCACACGCCTCTTGCCGAACAAACTCGACCCACCAATTAGAAAAAGAAAAAGAAAAAAGAACATTGTGTAACTCATTTATCACGTGTCTAATTTTTTCTTCGCCTCCTCCTTTTTTTCTTTTGTTGTTGTTTTTGTTGTTGTCGGTGATTATAAACTCTGTTAAACTGCCGTCAGTAATTTATTTACAATTGCTTTCTTTTTTCTTCCCTCAATGTTCCTCTCTCTCTCTCTGTTTTTTTTATTTCAGATACTCTCTTTGTTTTCTTTTTCTCCCTTTGTCATTATTGAAAGCTTATCATAATCTCTTCTCTTTGTATCCTTAAATGTCTGCTATAACATACAGTAGTTTTGCCACTAGTCACGTGTAGAACGGAGGAGAGGTCTACATTATTTGAAAAAGACTGTCCTGTCAACAGATATAATAAAACTGTGAAAGTTGGGTGTGTGATGCCCCCTACAGAAAAAAATAAAGAGAGAGAGAGAGAGAGAGAGAGAGAAAGAAAGAAAGAAAGACATGTTTGTTAACGTTAAAATAAATACATACAAAAATACATATCCATACATAATTTAACAAACAAAAATCTGTTCATTCTAATATGAAACTCTTTTTGTCAAGTTGATTGGATTCTTAATAGCTTTTTTTCTGTCCTCGCTGAGCATACACATATGTTTGTGTGTCATCTGAACCAATTTTTAACTAGAAAAATTTAAATATGAGTGTGTGGAGAATAACTGATGTAAAATGTCTAGAGTGGACACAACTACGCTACATTTTACAATACAAAACATAATGTGACATTATACATTCATCGGTTACGCAGCCTTATCTACTCTATTTGAGATAATTAGATATTCAGTTGTTTGGTAATAGTATGCATTATTCGACGCCAATAAATGGAGATTAGGCCTGTATTATAGTGTTACTGACTCACGGGAAGTAGTATGCACTCAACTGCCTCGTGGGTAATAGCTGTACCTACTTATAGTCTTTGTGACTTCATATGTAAATGAGTCACCTCTTCCTCCTCCCTAAGAGATTGTCTAGATCGCGACCTTTTTCTTTTTTCATAGGAGTGTTTGTCTTCATAGTCTATATTACGATTTCACTGTCTAGTTCGTTTTACCTTGACATGACACTTTACTCTTCATGACTGTCAGGCTCACTATACATTTCTTCATCGATATCGTGTTTGATTACGGATGGTACATTGGAGTTTTATACGGTTTGCATCCAATTTTGTTCAACCATTGGCATAGTTCCTTGTCACAGAACTCTGGGGCGTTGTCAGATACTAGCATCTTCGGAATTCCATTTCTTGAAAATATGATCCTTAACGTTTGTTTCACCGGCAAAATTAATTTTATTGGAGACCTATATTACTTCTGGCCATCGTGAATATAAATCTATCAGCATTAGTAAGAATCCCACTCCATTAACATGGGCATAATCCATGTGTACACAGTTCCGCGTTTTGGACTCTTTAGGCCATGTTTTCGTCAGTCTAACATTGTATATTTTACATCTTTTTATGTATTCTTCTACATCTGTAGAATAGCCTGGCCACCATGCATCTAGCTTTAATCTCCTTTGTGTAGACGTTATTCCGCAATGAAGATCGTCATGTATGCTTTTTATAATTTTGCTCCATTGCGTTGCTGGCGGAACCACTACGTTTCCATTACAAATTACACCATTTTCTACAGTTAACTTGTGTTTAATCTCTTTAAAATGCCTTTCTGTCCGTGAGCAATTATTCCGCTTATTATTTTTTTGTCCTGAACAATATACTGTTCAATATGGGATTTCGCTTCGTATCCTCAGCTCATTTGTTTATCGACAAAATATCACTTTCGACCCAGTTTAAGAAAGTATCTTTGAATTTTTCTTCCTCCTTCTCCCTTTCAGAAGTAATAAACTTCATCCTCAACAAAGCGTATATATGCGGAAAGGTAATGCCTTTCACATACTCAGTATCAAAATCAAACGCCATTAACATTAAGGATCATCTTAGAATTCTAGAAGACATTACTTTAGGAATTTCCTTCCTAGGATTGAATATGAATTCTAAACGTCTATGGTCGAACCTTAGTAGGAATTTCTTTCCAATCAGAAACTGACAAGCTCTATTTGTCATCCATATTATAGCCAATGCTTCTTTCGCAATATTTGAGAAGTTCAATTCTGCCTTTGACAATTTTCTCAAAAGATACATAATAGGATGACAATCCTGAGCAAATATTCCTGAAATTGAGAGTTCACTTGCATCAGTTGTTACTTCTATTTCCTTTCTAAGGTCAAATAGTTTTTACTACTCGCTTCTTTGCCAGAAGAGCTTTTAAATTTTCAAATGCCACTTATTGTTCTTTTGTCCAAATAAATTTCACATTCTTTTTTTTTAAAGCAGTAAAAGGTTTTGTCAATTCGGAGTATCACTTTACATATTGTCTGTAGAAATATACAAGTCCGTAGAAAGAATCCAATTCTTTTTTGTTCTTAGGTACTTCAACTTTTAATATTTTATCAATTAACGATTGATCTGGTGATATGCCTTCGCTAGATATGCAATATCCCAAAAATGATATTGTGCACACATTTTTTTCGGATGCGTCGAACTGATTTAATTGGACAAAGCCTTTCTTTAATCCTGGTTTTCCTAATTTCTTCCAGAAATTTCTGGGTATCAACGTCACATTACTTCCCGAATCTACTAACATATCCAATAAAACATTATTGATTCATTTTTTTTCAATGAAAAACGTCCATAATTATTGCCATTTCATTTTGTTGGACCGTCTCTATGTTTTTCTTTTTTGATTTACATATACGTTTAAAATGCTTCATTTTGAAACACTGTTCACTTTTTTTTTAATACGCCGGACGTTTTTGTTTTTCTCTCTGATGTTGATATTCACAAAAAGTACACGTTATTTTATCTTTATTCTTTATCGCGTATGTGTCCAGGTTCGTAACTTTTGTTCTATTAAATTTTCCAATTGACTCTTGTTGCTAAACAAATTCCCCACACTGTTGTAGTGACAACTTTCCCAATTGTAAATTCATTAGAATCATTTGCCGATATTCCTCATTTTGAAGACTTTTTACCGATTTCATTTGGATCAAATCCTCTTCGATTGACTGGTTTTCCGATCCCAGATTCTCAAATTCCCAATATTTAGCGATTTATTTTAAACGAAGAACATATTCAATAAATGGTTCATTCATTTTTTGAGAAATATTCATAAACTTAACTCTCTCCCACATTCACTATATTTTTCTTGGCTGTTATGTTTTTCACTATTAGTTAATTTCTATCATCAAACATCCTTTCCTCCAGCTGTCTTTGGTGTACAATTGCTGATACTTTTATAATGGCCTCACAACCAATAATTGCTAAGAAGAGATCAGTTATTTGGTTTTCTCCTCCAACTGATTTCAAATCCTCCAGCATTTTTGTTCTAACTTTAGTTGCTATTATCCTAAGCCACACTTGTGTGTATTCATAATTATCCAGTGATAATTGTTCGCACGGTTTTGTAGATATCGGCAATGCCATTGTAGTGTTACTGACTCACAGGAAGTAGTATGCACTCAACTGCCTCATGGGTAATAGGCGTAGTTAATTATAGACTCATCTCCCTGTGCCGAAGAGGTCTTATCCCCTTATATTCCCTGGTACTTTTTCTGGAAGATTTTGTCTCCTCACTATCTTCCTCCCTCTCCTTAAGAGATTGTCTAGATATGGAAGATCATGATCTTTTTCTTTTTTCATAGGAGTATTCCTCCAATGATTGTTCATTGTCAGAGTCTATATTACTCTCGATTTCACTGTCATGTTTGTCTTGCCATGATATGACACTTTCCCCTTCATTACTTTCAGGATCACCATACATTTTTTCATCGCTATCATGTTGAAATCTAACTTGGTCTGCATGCACTAATATTCGATTTTCAATTTTTTCTATTAGTTGAGTTATATCATTTCCTCCAACTGTCTTTGGTGTACAATTGCTGATACTTTTATAATGGCCTTTATACTTTTATAATCGCACGGTTTTTTAGATATCGGCGACGTCATTGTAGTCTTACTGATTCACGGGAAGTAGTATGCACTAAACTGCCTCAGATTTACCATTAAGACAGGAGTAAATAGTTGTGTCATCAGAACAGATACCGAGTTGAGAATTGATGACGCCAGGAAGGTCGTTGGCTAAAATTAGGAACGACGCAGGTCCAAGGATCGAGCTCTGGGGGCGCCTGCATTAATGCAGAAAGACCTAGAAGAATGGTCATTCGAGACAACATTAATTTCGTGATTTGATAAGAAAGATTGAATCAGATCAAAAGTTCGTCCAGAAATACCATGAACTTCCTTCTTACATGCAACAAGACTTAAATATATATATATATATATATATATATATATATATATATATATATATATATATATATATATATATATCCATAAAGGTCCATAAAGCACTTTTATTTGTAATTGCGATAGAAATAATCTGTAAAAAATGTTATAAAGTTTAATGTACCTAGTTTTAAGTATAGCTAAAATAACTAATGTGATTTCAGGCATTACTGTAAATCAGTTGGCAAATGTTTTCCGTGAACTGCAAAATCGTATTACCCTTTGTATTGCTAATGATGGAGGATATGTGGAAAGTTAAATAAAATTTCAATAAAACTTTAAAAAATATAGATTTACTTCTTTCTAATCCTTTTTACAAATTATTTCTATCGCAAATACAAATAAAGTTATAATTTTTTTAAAGTGCATGTTTAAAAGTTTTATGGACACCCTTTATATATATATATATATATATATATATATATATATATATATATATATAAAATATATTATCCTACCAACTAACTCTGTCACATCTACAATCGAACAGAATCTACCTAAACTCAACACTTAAGTTGTTACTACTACATCCAAAAACAATAAAGGACTTAGCCATACTAAACAAAACAATAAGCTAATACTTGAAGCAGGAATTTATTCTATCGCCTGTAATAAATGTCGCCAAAATATATAGGAGAAACCTCAGGAAACCTAAATAAAAGATGACATAAACACAAAGGGGACATTTTACAAAACAATACGTCAAATATTTTGGTTACCCACCGTAACGTGTCTGACCACTATTTTAACATGAAAAATGCTACTCTGATCAAAAAAGAAATAATTCACTACGATGTAAATGTCTAGAGAGGGCCTTGATCACAAGATCATCTACGGTAAATTTGCGGTTCTTTACATCATTTCACCATTCCTGGCAGATCTTCTATATAGTGTGGCATACCTACAAACAAAACTAATTGAAAGGAAAAGAAAAATACCTTAAATAACGAAATTAAAGGAATTCGGCTAGTTATAAAAAAATTCTAAAATTCCCAGCACCCCTCTGTTGTGAGCATATGTAGTCCTACCAACATAACAAATTTAGTCCGATGAAGTCTGATGAAGTCCTGAAGTATGAAACGTGTCACAAATAAGCCTTTT